CTACAACCTGTGAGTCAGACTAAGAGCAGATACATTAATGTATTAAAGCTAACTTGAGTGCATCAGTGTTGAACACATGTGAGCAGAGGTGTTCGTGATATCAGCCATTGGTGAACTCCAGAACAATTCTGTTCTACAGGGAAAAGCCCACAACTATCGTTTTTCCCAAGTTTCTGACTCGGCTGTTCAGGGTCAGAGAAAGAGAGAGAATGGTGCAGCTATACAATGAAATACGATTTGACCAATTTTAAACAGGAAAAAGGAAAAGAAAATCAGTATGTAGCGGTCTGTGATGGCACGGTGACGGGTTACTACGGACAAATCCATGTATGGAAAACACTTATTCGATAAAATTCAAAAGAATTGATCAGACAGCTCACTGTTTGTAAATAGGACAACTGGAACATTTAAAATGTCACTGAACCGTAGTTATCTGTGGCTGCCACTCATCTCTGAAAAAGCAAATACAAAACTTTGCAAAAGTCATTTTTTGCAATTCATGTCGGTAGATTATTTTTAATGATCTTTTTAATGATCTGCTGACAGCAAGCCGTCTGATGATGAGACACATCCAACAGCACGCCTCCAACACATCATCGAATCGGAAAAACAAGTTGCCTTTCTGCGCCGTGTGCAGAATGAAATCAGTCAAATTAAAGTCAGAGCACCGACTTCCTTTTTTCCTTTTTTTTTAAAACAGTCGTATAATGTCCTCACCAGACTATCAGGTCTGGGTTGTATCTATTTTTTGACACCTGAATATCCTCCTAGCATTTCACTGCGTAATATTCATACATATAGAATATATAGTACATCTTAGTTTCAGTATTTAAAAAAAAAAAAAACAGACAAAAACAGATGAATTTGTTCATTCTGTCATCGTCACACATATATGACAATATGTCAGCCTACAGTTCCTTTTAAGACCATTGACCTATTAAATGTTTCTGACCTATATAATGTTGTCGCGCTGTGAGTAAAGTTAGATGCTGCTAACAGCACAAAACATGCAGCATAATCGTTTCTTCCTCCAAGAATAGATTATGTTCAGTCAAAGGGAGTTTTGTGGGAGTTTTGGCTGAACAAGATGGAAAAACAGGCCGACGTGAGTAAAAAAAAAGGCTGAATAAATTAGCTTAATTAAATGCTTAGCCTACAGTACAATTACAAATTAGGCAAAAAGTAATGATTCATTCTTTGGTGTAACACGTATGGCTCCAGCAGACAGAATCATTCAGGTCTTTTGCCAAGAATATTCCCTTTGTTGGCCGTTTGTAGGGAGCTCTGTGGGCTTCTCTTTGGTGCTGAATATTCAGTCAGATGCTGCACTTGAAGCTCACATGTGAAGATGTTTGCAGGCCACCGTGGACACTAACGGTTTGATGTGTTACTGGCTTCACCACAGAGCTCTACAAGTAACCGCTGCACACAGCTTCATCGGTGTTGGCTGACCAGCAGATCGCAACTCAAAGTCGACTGGACGATGAAACAACAGCCGCATGTACCACCGACAGGCAGTTCTTCAACGATAACAAGGAAACTGTTTTGATCTAATAGTCAACAGTTCCACCTAAATGTTTAGGATGCAAACCGCCATGAAAGCACATAACGGCAAAGCCAAGTTCAGTTGTTTACACAAACATCTTCCTTTATAATTATTAATGTTTTTGTGTGTAAATTGATTTATTTGAGTATTTTTCATGGTTGTGTTAAGATTAAAATGATCACTTGTGTACGCTGACAAAGAGGCTAAAATGGTTGAATTCAAAATAAAGTCCCTCTCCTGATCTTTATTAACCTTCTGGACTCTAAGCTATGTTTTTGTGTGTTTTTATTTGCTCCCTCACTGTCACTCATTCTTCACTGCAGCATAAAGTCCTGCACCTCGATGGAAACAGAACCACCACGACAACGAGGAAAGAGAACTCAGAAATGTTTATGACAGAATCTGGTTTGGGCAAACAGTTTGTTTTTGGCAAACACGTCAATGAAAGGTGTAGAATAAAGTGACTTTGATGAAACATTAGGATTTTTCAGATGAAACCAAAAGTCTCACATGATGAGTTCAAGGACTGTGAAAACGATGAAAATGTGACGATTCTCTCTGTTTCTGGCTGATAAATTGTGTAACTTTAGTGATTAAAAAAACAACATGTCATTCAAACCCACCAGCGGGTTTTGGGGCTGAAAACAGATCATTAATAATTCTGAGTACTGAGTGAATGAAAACATTTCATCGTGACATGTTTCAGGTGTATTTCCCGGTGATTCCAAACCGATGCTCGATATTGTTGCTTTTTATCGTGACGTGGTGTTTGTTCAGCACTGTAACACATGCAGCGTCTGTGTCGATGTATGTGATGATTTCTAAATGTCACGGTGAAGCCGTCTGTTATTTCAGAACACGTCCAAACAGCCAGCTGCTGTTACAAAGCAGTTTGGGTGGGACGCTGCCTCAGTACAGAGCACAGTGTTCCAGTCAGAATATCTCAGCCTGTTCTGTTTTGATTTTAAAATCTTAGTTTCATAAATCTTACAGCTTCATGGAAGTCACAGAGTGAATGTTAAACGTGAGTAAGCAAAGGGACATCATGCTGATGCAGGACGTGATGCTGCTGATAGACAAACAGTCAGTATGATCTGGACTGAAGGTCGATGACACTTGTCCAGTCTCACACAATCGGTTTCATTTTGTGTGTTTGCCCTCAATCTTACATTCAGGTTTCCCCCACTTTTTACCTCCCCCCCTCTCTGCAGTGAAAATATAATTACACTTTCTTCATTAAAGTGAGTAATTTCTTGCGTGGAGGACGCGACTACAGCTGTCCTCTGATTACTAAATGGAACAGAGCAATGATCTATGGAGCCATTAGGGGAACGGGCTGGAACTAATTTCAATCCTGGAATGGACCGATGGCTGCAAACACACACACACACACAC